CATCATCATCATCATCATCATCATCAACATCAACATCATCATTATCATCATCATCATCATCACCGTCATCATCATCACCATCATCACCATCAACATCATCATCATCATCATCACCATCAACATCCTCATTAATATCATTTATCCGTTTCAAATGTTCTTTCAACAAGAGAGAATCCTGTTGGAAACTTGCGATTCCGCGCGAGACAGGAAATGACGTCAAGTGAAACCCACCAATAGAGTGCAACCAACATGGCGGATATGACGTTAGTGAACCAAAAGATTATTTTCATCATAGGACCTCAAAGTAGTAGCAAGTACATTATTACCATTTGACACACTCACCTGATAACGGTTGGATAGAGTTCAGAGGTGTAAAGGTAGACATTGTTGAAGCAACAAGAGTTCAAGACACGACCAATGATGGCGATGGCCAGGACAGCTGTCTTGTTATCTGTTGATAGATTCCAAAACAAGCAAACATTATCCGATGAAATATGGACATCAGTGAATCGACTTGGCTAACCTCTGTGGTCTCTGGTTTGATTCCTGGACTCAATGTTTCTTGAGAAGAGTTTGTTGGGTGTCTCCTTTCTTTAATTTTTTTTTTTTTTTCGGTTTCTCTGGGTTTCCCAGCCGGCTTTCTTTTCTCCGCAAAACCCCAAACCGAAAAACCTAAATTCGTATTCAATCTGTGAGTTATTCTCATCTTTGAGGATCACCCCATTGATACCTATCTCTGTCCCCCTCAAGGGGTCACATATATTCAAAACTTGTGACACCCCCAAATCCTCCGATCTCCTACCCCCAGGGGTTAAATAATAACCGTCCCCTTACCTCCTGGGATGACAAGTACAGACAGACAAAGTAACGCGCTTAAGAACATGTATCCAATGAAAGGAATACGACGACCGAATCTGAAAGCAAAACAAATTTTAAAACCACGATGCTGTTTGGATGGATGGATAGATGGATAGATGGATGGATAGATGGATGGATGGATGGATGGATCGGATGGATGGTAGGGTGGATGCATGGATGAATGGATAGATAAATCTTAATCATCATACTTGTTCAATATTATTAGACTTGCCCTACTTACTTTTCCATCAGGAAGTAAGAGATAGGGAGGTTAGGAATAGTGAGGAGTCCCATGATGAGAAAATTGAAGTAGATGTTACCAGACAAGGCAGTTATGTAAAGATAGAAACCAAAGTACACCATTGAGATCACGAACCTAAAAACGGAGAAAATATCATGCATAAAAAATCTTGCTTAGAGAAATTTTCAGATTTTTAGAAACCTTTTGTGCGCAGATATAATCCTTCCTTGCAAGAGATGCTATATTGTGAAAGGATTCCTAACTACATGGCCTACGTGAGCAAAATGTCTCAGTTCTGCGTTAAATGTGCACTTTAGATCGAACCCTGAAACAACCTCTGTGCTGATCTAAGTCAGGGCACGACTAACTCACAGATTGAACCCTGAAACAACCTCTGCGCTGATCTAAGTCAAGGCATGGCTAACTCATAGATTGAACCCTGAAACAACCTCTGGGCTGATCTAAGTCAGGGCATGACTAACTCACAGATTGAACCCTGAAACAACCTCTGCGCTGATCTAAGTCAGGGCACGACTAACTCACAGATTGAACCCTGAAACAACCTCTGGGCTGATCTAAGTCAAGGCATGGCTAACTCATAGATTGAACCCTGAAACAACCTCTGGGCTGATCTAAGTCAGGGCATGGCTAACTCACAGATAGAACCCTGAAACAACTTCTGGGCTGATCTAAGTCAGGGCGCAACTATCTCACAGATTGAACCCTGAAACAACCTCTGGGCTGATCTAAGTCAGGGCATGGATAACTCACAGATAGAACCCTGAAACAACCTCTGGGCTGATCTAAGTCAGGGCACGGCTAACTCACAGATAGAACCCTGAAGCAACCTCTGGGCTGATCTAAGTCAGGGCGCGGCTAACTCTCACAGATCGAAGTGAAGGCGCCACATTGGCGCTTATTTCAGTTATTTCCTTTCATATTGGAAATGTGCATATTGTAGCTCAATGAAAACTTGATAGAACTTTCTCGAATACTATTATTTTCATCTCGGAAAAGCTAAAACAATTTACCAGTTGAATCCAAGAATGAAGCTTCGTTTCCTGATTTTCGGTGTTTTGAACAAATCAAGTGGCGAAAGTTTTCTTTTTCCCCTCCTTTCTTTTTCCATCTTCTCATTTTCTTGTACTTCCTCGAGGAGGTTCATCAGCTCATCTCGGTTTAATTTCTGCTTCTTTCTTCCACCATACTTCATGAGTTGGTTGCAGGCCTCGTCCAGACGATTGTTGGCCACAAGCCATCGTACTGTCTCCGGTACAAACCTTAAAACGAGGCGAAACATTATAACCTATTCTTGGGATGATTGTTACATCATAGCCGCCATTTTGTTTGACAATAAAAAAGCATAGAATTTCTCATTAGCTTCTCTTGTTAGATCTCCTTCAATAAAAATATTGCATATAATGTGTTCCTTAAGGCCCTGTTACACGTTGAAACTTTTAGCTGTGAAACGGTATTTAAGGACAACTGAGTTTCTATTATGGGGCTTGGGCGTCGACGACGAAACACACGACGACGACTGAATAACGGCTTCAATGTTGAAAAAGCTTGGGGCGAGCACTTTCTTTTCGGCGGGATAATTGAAGGGTTAAGCAACTTCGTACGATGACGACGAACAATTATTTACTATTTATTTCGAAAAGAATAACTCAAACATATGATGAATATACTCATATTCAGGCTATACAATCACTTTTCGAATTAACAGTAAGTTACGACAAAAAAAAAAAAAATTTCGTACGCGTAAAAAGAGCATGTGAACGGCTTGTAACTAGGAAATTCCGTCGTCGACGAAGACAGGCCTAGGACGACATATTCTTTCGTACGCACCTGCGCAGTACATTAGAAATGTAACGATCCGACTTCCGGTCGTCGTCGTCGTGTGTTTCGTCGTCGGGAAGTTCACGAAAAGTAGAACTGTTTTTACTCGTGCAACCGAAACTTGTGTCGCGAACAATTTTCAGGACGAAATAGCGCCGTGTAACTACACCCCTGTGAAACTTGACTCACAAGTTTCAGCCAAAAGTTTCAACAGTTTTAACAGGGCCTTTTTACAGGCCGGTTTAGACGGTACGATTTTCGCCTACAACTATCGTATACAACACGCTCGCGTCTGTCGTAGGCGAGTTGTAGGCTTGATTTACACGCTACGACTCGAGTTGTAGGATGGCGCGAGCGTGTTGTATACGATAGTTGTAGGCGAAAATCGTACCGTCTAAACCGGCCTTAACGCTTCTCTTGTTAGAACAACCAATATGGCGGCTATTTTTCTATATTTTTGGTGACGCAAATCACTAATTTGCAAAGAAAATATATTAAAATTTCTTGTTTATCATTTAGTTTTGCCAATCTAAACAACAGAAGAATATCTAAATTCAAAATTTGCCGCTAATCTATTGTCTAAGTACTCAAACACTATTGGATAATTTGTGGAAAATTTGTCGAGGTTTCCTTGGTTGGAGTAGTCACACTGTAATATGTAAAACCTTTACCAAGCGTGTTTTTAATAGCTGAATATGTTTATTTTTATGTGTAGGTTCCTTACCTCCAGCACAAAATGAATGGGATGATAATCAACGTAGATATCAATGTTAACATTCTCCAGTCACGAATAAGGTATGCCAAAAGGAATGAAATCACATCCCCGAAGTCCCAAAAGAAATCCTGTATTTTACCAGAAAATGTTCGCCTACGTGGTCCAACGATCTCGATGATGTACACATATTGACAAAGCATAAGGGAGACAAGGAAAAAACCGACGAAGAGCCGAAGCAAGGCGAGTAGAGAAGGACAGTCGGCGAAGTACGTTCCAATGGAAGAGACAAACTGCAAGAAATTAATGAAGTACTAAAGTGAGTGTGGTTGTGAATAATTCATTTTCCACCTTCTTAGTTACTGTTGCTACGTCGGACAAGCCGAAATGTGTTTTTGATATACAGCATGGAGCATGCAGACACCGATTGCTGAAAACTGTAAATGTATGTCTTAGAATCACTGCATTCTACTTAAGGTAGATTAAGATAAAAAATCGATAAAAAATCTTACAAATTTGAGTTTGTGGTCTGACACTCTGCAATTCATTGGGAAAATTTCCATAGTTTGGGTGGACACACAAGCGTGTAGTCGGGAGCGGTCTATTCGTACACTACCGCTGTCTTCCTTGACTACAGACTCATTTGCTCAGGCTTAGCCTCGAACCAGCGCAAGGGCGGATCCAGGGGGAGGGTCGGGGGGTCGCGACCCCCCTGTCATTCCTGAGGTTAAATGGGCTTCCTGTGGTAAAAATGCGACTGGGATTCCTTTGCCCACAAAATTTACCCCTTAGACCCCCCCTTCAAAAAAACCCTGGATCCGCCCTTGCAGCGTCCATATATTCATAAATACCAACGGTAAAGTAAAGAATGCACGGCTTTAAAACAATTTGAAATTCCACGGACTTTCACCAGAACACGTGAATATTCTACACAAAACCTGAGCAACAGAGAACTCGAAACTGGAGTGTTGCTGCTCAACCTTAGCCTCGTCACGGCGTGTAATACATTCTTTAGAAATTGCCTACAACTTGTGTAACGGGATCCGTGAAATGGCCTATTGATACGTAAGACACGGAGGCCATGTTGGATGATATAACAAGAGACTAATGTCGAATCTTTTGATAAATTGATCCAACATGGCGGCCGTGACAACCATCAGTTATGCATGCAAATTCACGAAAAATGTTGAAAATTGTTTTTTTTAAAGCATTTTTGAAATGAGGGATTTTGGTAGTAAACGACAGAGGGAACAAATTACAATTTCATTTTCTTACCATCATCGAGAGGCCGACTATTATACAAATTCGTCTGCCAAATGTGTCCGACAACCATCCACCAGGTATGGAACCAAGTAACATTCCAATGAAGAAACATGACTGGACTGTCGCACCGATGTGGGCACGGTCACAGATAAGGTTCCACTGACAAAACAAACAAACAAATTGGAATATCAGTATGAAGTGTGACCTTGAGACAAGCATGGTCATCACGCTGTATTGCTTACTATCAATCACGTGACTTTTTGGAGTTGACTGGGGGGCAAACAAGCGGTTGACTGGGGGGCAACTAGCGGATGCTAAGTCAAAACATATCAAAATAAGTCCTCAAACTATTGTATTTGACTATTTTCACGACATCAAACCAGAAAACAAGAGATCAAAACAACCTCGCCAGGATTCTACAAGCTATCAAAAAAAGCGCTATTACCGGAAGTGACGTCTATTGATAGCAACCTATGGACACCATTTTTGCGATAAATCAACGGTACACAGGGAAAGCGGGGCTAGTTTTGGATTGGGGACGCTAATATTTCAGAAATACGAGTTGCTGTATTCTATTGGGGTTTCAAAATCCGAGTGGAATTCCAAATTCCAAATTTGAAATTCCACGAGGATTTTGAAACCCCAATTAGAGAATACAGTGAAGAGTATTTGACACGACATCTTCTACTCTTTTTATTATGTTTATTTTAATTTAAAAGTTCTAGTACTTTGAAATATTTCAAAGTCCGAGTAGTAGGACTTTGAAATATTTCAAAGTACTAGAACTTTTAAATGCGTTAGGTCGTATTTGATGGGGGTTTCAAACTATGCACGTGGGCACAAATAAGAAACCCTGGTTGGTCGATGAGCGCATGAATAATTAATGAGTATAAGATTATTATATCAAATAGAAAATAAGCGCAAATAAATCAAAAATGGTGGGAAAATTATTGGTGGAGCATAAAGCTAGAGTAAACAACTTTACGAAGATCGTTTACATTTACGCCGATTTCAACAAGATCAGCTTTTCAAGGGGACCATTGACAAGCAATAGATAGAAAACCATTCAAAGTCTTTACGAGTTGCCATTTAATAGGACTCTTGGGCTTAAAGGAGCACGCACCAAAAGACTTGAATAAAATTAATTATCCTTCGTGGATGAGCTAGTAATCTTTTAGTAAAATGCTCTTAAATCTGAATCTTGCTGTTCCAAGACACCTGAGGAATGAAGACGATATAAAACAATAGCCAAGGTAATGAATCTACACTAGACTACTGTTTCGTTTACGAAAATACTTTGGAACAAAGGAACAATAGAATAATAGGATTCTTTCATCTCGACCTTAGTGCACGCTTTTTGAATAAATAAGTAGAAGTATATTTAAGTACGGAATCGCCTTAATATAAATTCATTCAGAAAATATAACTAGCTAAAAACTAGTGTGAGCTGCGTCGGTGTTCCTAATGAAACAGTTATGATAAAAAGGTAAATTATACACCGTGAAAAGATGAAAAAACGAAGGACTAGCGTCCGAAACGTCAGTAAGTTTTTTCATCTTTTCACGGTGTATATTTTACCTTTTTATCATTGCTGTTAATTCATTCAGTCAAGTATAACACCGGCCACCGGGTAAGTTATACCGTTTCTAGATTTGTCGCTATTTTTTTTAGATAGTAACGTTTTGTATCACAAATATCTCTAGATTTCGAACAAGTAAAAGTAACAGAAGATGATTTTAAATGAGAGAGTATGTGGACCGCGTGGCACTAATGAAATAGTAGAAGATAATATAGGTAAGTTGTAGTGCTTGGGAACGAGGTTATTCCGGGCGAAAGCCCTTAGAATTAAATTCGGAAAAATTAATTTCCGACCTCGCTGGGACTTAAGCCCTTAGAATTAAATTCGGAAAAATTAATTTCCGACCTCGCTGGGACCTCCATTTAATTCTAAGGGCTTTCGCCCGGAATAACCTCGTTCCCAAGCACTACAACTTACCTATATTATCTTCTATGATTTTAAATGAATAAATGATTAGATGATTAGATGATTAAAGCTCTGAAACCATAGTCGTCAAGTAACATCGTTTATTTCTAAACAACTACAAAGCAAAATTCCTAATAAGCTTGCTCCAGCAAGACAATCAAGAAAGATCTAATTTGATGTTTTAAAAATACAATTTCGTTTCCTGGTACACGTAAAATGATCCCTAAGAATTCATGCAATTACCAATGGTGTTTTCATCATATGTAAATATGATATACATATACCTTCACATATTTACCCTTCGTGCAGACCGAATTTAACTGTCGTTAACGACACATTTTTAATACATTTTAGAAATTAATGGAGAAAAATAAATATTTCATCGATGATTATGTAATAAAGAACTGGTTATATTGCTTGATGAATCGAAACTCAGAAACAATATATGGATATGGCCGAGCGGTCATGCTGTAAGTACTTCTACTAGATACTGAAGAGTACAAGCTTAGGAATTAGATACTCCTCAAAATAGAAGGATTAGATAATTAACTGTTTTGGGTGGTGTGGAAACATTGGCAAACTGACGAAAACACGAGGTTTGGTCTCATAAGGTTGATACATACACTCAATAATTTGCTTCTTAAGGCCCTTGCTAAACGAGAAAACATGTTTCCAGAAACATGTTTACCGCGCGCATGTTTTCTCGATGTTTCCCTGCATGTTTAGCCACATGCGAAACAACGTGCAATAAATTTTGCTTCCAAGACGCAGCTTTGTTTTTAGCGAAACCAATGTTGACGAATGGATTTACGATCACCTATAAGCACCTAAACTCTCACCTCGGATACGGCGCTCGTAAATGGACCATCAAAAGTATAACTTGTACAGTTATCACAACATTTTCCCGACGGACACGTGGAGTTGGGAGAACTACAATGAAACTTTGGAGTTCCCGTTCCAAACACTAACAACGCGAACTGTAAGGAAATGGGCGTTAGAAGCAAATTCCCAACTATGTAAAGGATCTTTTGATAGCTTCCAAACGAGCGGACCCATTGAAAAACGTCATCTAGTTGGAGGCGATTCTTTTGGGGTACTTGGCCTTCCATGTTACTGCGACGTCTGTCGAGACTTGTTTTTACTTCCTTTGAAATTTAAATGAATGACGTAACAGAACTTCAAGTAGAGAAGTGACAATCAAAATACATACAATTGGTCTATATGGGTCGGTAACTTATATTGCCCTCCCTGATAGGCTCGGCTGGCTCGGCAACGTGCATAAACGGAGTCAACAAACTCTTATATTAATTCATGAGCAAAACACATTATAGCAATATCAGCCAACCGCGAAGAGTTACATAACTTCGGATAAAAACCAGTTCATAGCTTGTATTTTCTTGGGTAGATTCAATTAAACTATTGTATTGGTTACTAATCTACACTTTTGTAAAGTAAGTTAGAGTGGTTTTCATAAGTTTACTAGTTAAACAATTGTATTCACTGGAGTGTAACAGTAAGATCAATACAACAGGAAACAGAAGAACTAGATTGTAGTTGATGGATTGCAATGGTTCCCAAGAGAGTGAAAATACAAAAACATGGCAGCCATTGTGGTGTCCTAATGATTTTGGTGCTAATGAGAAATACTTTGTTAAAAGGCACTTTAGTGCCTAATCCAATTACTAAAGGCACCAACATAGCCGCTATGATAATCGAAGAATAGTACATCTTAGGTCCGCTATTATTTATCCTTTATATTAATGACCTTCCAAATTGCAATCTTTACTCAAAAGTGAGAATGTATGCGATGATTCTAGTCTTTCTATTGCAAATTCTAATGAAATTATCTTAGAACAGCAAATGAATCATGACTTGCGTGAAATACACACATGGCTTAAAGCAAATAAGCTAAGCCTAAATGTGGTCAAAACTAAATACATGATTATTGCTAGTCAATACAAGATAAATCATCTTGAACATGAACTTCAAATCCAAGTAGATCAAAAGTCCCTTGTAAGGGAAACAAAGTATAAATATCTTGGAGTTGACATTGACTTGGAAGGATCATATAGAAAATATTGCTATGAAGGTCTCTGGAGGGATTGGAGCTCTAAGGCGTGTTAAGCATCTTGTACCATACGATACATTAATTACAATGTACAACTCTCTTATACTACCATATTTCGATTATTGTAGTGTTGTGTGGGGGAGTTGTAGGAAAAGGATGAGTGACATTCTTCAGACACTTCAAAATAGAGCTGCTAGAGTAATAACAGGTTCGAATTATGATAGAAGATCAATAGAAATTCTGTGTGAGCTCAAATGGGATAATCTTGAAACTCGAAGATATAAACAACTTGCAAAAATGATGTACAAATCATTAAATGGAATTACTCCACATTATTTGACTCAGATTTTTAGTAGCACAAAATCTCTGCATTGTTATAATCTGAGAAACAGATCTGGAAAAAACAGCTTCCATTACAGGGGGGCAGTTCTCTGGAATAATTTGCCCAATCATACTAGAGGGCAACCAAATCTTAATTTTTTTGTAAAAAACTTAGAATAATTTATTATTAGTATTATTAAGCTATTTTTAGTAGATTGTAGTAAATTAGAACATTAGGATATATAGAGTAATTTGCAAATTTTGTACATATTATTTGATCTAATTATTTATTATTTGTTTTTGTATATACGGCTCTCTGGAAGAGCATTTTTATGAAGAGATTCCGTATTGAAAGCATTTCAAGGGTTTATGGAAATCACTACATACTAATTTGAAAAGAACTAGACGCACTTTTGGTGCGTTTACTCGGGCTACCATCAAGATGTCCAACTGATAATAGATATATTCTATATCCCTGCTCAGAGTAAAATTACTATGATTGAGTCTGAGATTGAGATTCTTATAAACATGGGATAAACCGTTATACAGGCACCATATTATTAGAGAGTTTTAGATTGACATTTTTTCTCCCCGCGGACGGCAAACGTGAGCACGTTTTCATAGTTTTCCTGTATTTTACTTTACCTTTTGCAAACGTTCTCACCAAGCGCAAATACTCTTTTGTTTTTCTACTACTTGGACTTTCTTGCGATTCTCTTTAAGCTATTTAAAATTATTTTTTACTGGTCAACTGACGTTTCACGTTTGCCGTGAACGTAAATCTAAAACTCTCTATTGTGAACTTGGATTTGTCAGAAGTTGCTGATAATAGTTATAATGACATACATTCATTGCTTTTTTTACGAAACATATTTCTTGAGAAGCGCTTTTAGACCATAATTTCCTTCGTCTGGGTAAAGAACCAGAAGCTTTGCTTATTTTGAGCTTCCGATGATAAATTTTGGGACAAGTCTTGGCTTGGACGACGTAAACAACACTTCATGTGAATAAATATTAGCTTTTATTATAATTTTATTTATTTAAATTGCACTCAGTTCTCAAAGATTGTATGGGCTTCCTGTGATTTGAGTTGACTTGAGTTTCATTTGGGCTCATTTCGCGTGGCAATCGACTCTGCGGTTATGTGATTTCAACTCTGCCTAGTTTTCATGGCAGATTCTCGACTACAACAACAGATAGATAGAAAACCTAAACCAGGGCCTAAACCTAGACTTGGCCTACCACAGGTAGCCCGAGTAATAATACATATGCGGCTTATTATTTGATGTGACAGCTAATTGACAGGCAAGGAATTGGCATTTCAAATGCCCTGAGGACCAAACTAAACAACAAGCGACCGCTTGTTATGCTGGCTACGAATCACTGCACTTTCTGTCGAGCTATTAGTAGACTTGAAGAGCATCACTATCTGATTGTTACACAAATACAAAATGAAGGCTGAAAATCAGTGGAGTGAATATTTTTCGAAAAGGGAAGCCAAATTTTCAAACGTCACAGCGGCCATTATGGGGTACCAAAACAAGGCAATACATTTTCTATCCTCCAGGAACTGAACTCTATTTTTATGCAAATACTGTGCAGAAAGTTTCTATTGTTTATTGCTGCCTTCTCACGTGAGTGAAAACGCTCTATATCTTAACATACTAAAAGATACCTTAACGCTGATCTTTACCCAAGATATAACGAGCAAGACAGTACGATATCTCTTCATTTGGCACTTTATACTATAAAAGTACAAACATACTTATGGGAATAACCAATTTATTTGTGCTGTCTTTGACATACTGAAAAAATGCGTAGAATCTAAATAATAATAATAAAAAAAAACAAGGACAAAAACAAAAACAAACAAACACACACATTGATCTTAAATTGTTCTAGTGGTTTTTAACTTCTTGGGTAATTTTTTCCATCTCGTTTTTCCCTCCCCCTCCCCTACAGTAAAAGAAAATAACGAGAAAAAACGGATAAAATCTACACATACCTAGTTTTCGCCATTCTTTAAAAGTCCAGGTAAGGTCAAGCAAGTTTAAAAGCGACAATTTCGTATTTTTTCGTGACTTTTTCGCAAAAATTTGAAAAACTTCTTAAGAAGACGGTTTACGTTTCCAGAGGCAAAAAAAAACAAACAAACAAAAAACAAAAAAACAAAAAACCCAACAATCAAACAAATAAATAAATAAACAAAACAAAAAAAAGTTTTAAAGAGTCCCCTAAACAGTCCCGTGATGCAACGGGTCTTACTTGAACACACAATATTAAGGTCCAGCTGCTTATCCCATGGCAGTAGAAAACCAAGATGGCGGACGTATCAACATTTGTCGACAAAACTCTTTCTCTGTTGAATATCGAGAGGAAAGCCGAGGTAGACGAGGCGAGAACACTACAAGAGAGCTCAAATTTGAACGAACTTCAGAAAAAGGGTGTATGTTTGTTGAGATTACGAGTACAAAGTCGCTGTACGGGGTTGTATGGGAGATATTTGTTGACGTTTGAGAGTTCGAGATTTGGGACGGACGGGACGTTGGCTGCTCATCGAATTACTCCAGGTATTTTCAGTTTTGCTTAATAATCTGTTAATAATTTTGATGTAACTAAATTACAGATGGTTTGGGTATGTCTTATAGCAATACTTCATGTCTACTTGCAAAGATATTGTGATGATTTTACACTGTACAGTATGCTATAAACCATTTTCACAAAAGCCCGAACATTACTTGCCACCAGCCAATCGATCTCTGGTTAGCCCATGAATAACAAAAGCTTTTTCACCTAAATTATCGATATAGTACTCTATGAATTCAAATTAACCTTTCTCAAAATTAATCTTGAATGGAAGGCTAACATGGAAATACAAAAGAAATGCCCCAAATTCCATCGAGAAAAAATGTGATTTCTTTTGTGTTTCCATGTTAGCCTCACATCTAAGTTGAGTTTGAGAAGGGTCCATGTATTGTCCATTTTTAAAAGTGCCTTGAGCATAGGATAAGTGCGCTATTGCAATAAAGTTTGTTATTGTGTGATTCAAGAAAATTTTTTTGTATCTCTCCTTTACTTATTAACTGGTTATTATCATTATCATCATCAACCATCCCATCACATTTATTCATTCATCCATCAATCATCTATCCATCGCTTTCTCCATCCACCCAACCATACATCTATCCAACCATCCATCCATCTATCCATCCACTCAACCATACATCTATCCATGTCATCTTATCCATCCATCCATCCCATCCATCCATCCACCCAACCATACATCTATCCATGTCATCTTATCCATCCATCCGTCCATCCATCCATCCACCCAACCATACATCTATCCGCATCATCTTATCCATCCCATCCATCCCATCCATCCACCCAACCATACATCTATCCATGTCATCTTATCCATCCATCCATCCATCCATCCACCCAACCATACATCTATCCATGTCATCTTA